CAAAAGCCAGATTCAAACATTGCCTAAAAATGAATTTATAAATACATAGAAATAATTGATATTCTCATTTTTCAGGTTTTTTTTTCCTTCATATTTTTTTAAAAAAAATCTACACCACCTGTGTTTTGGTCTTGATTTGATTACTAAAATGCACTTCTATATGAACTCAATATTTCATCATTATCATCAGTTTCATTGGTCTTTAAAGCACTATGGTCTTCAGTAACATCTGCTTGATCTTTGAATGCTACATCCTCATCCTGCAAGCACACCAACCAGAAAGAGGCAATATTTAATGAGATAGTTTCAGAGGATAGAAAGAATGTAGCCAAAATATTAATCCATCATCTAAGTTCCCTTATTAAACTGTCATAAGTCATAACTGTGATTATCCCACCACCATCCAAAGAAACGAAAAATAAAAAGTGGAACATGGTCGTGATTCGCATGCAGGACAAATGTGAGCCATGGTGTAAAATACATGAAGCAAGAGACTCTGACTGACATTCTCCAGATTCAATGATTGAGACAAAAGGATTGGATAGTTTTTTATGAGATAATTTGTGGTGTTTATCACCTTCTAATTTCTCAACAATTCTGTAATAGCTAACTCTTCCAAATGCATAGAGTTCATTCCTACAAATTGATTCAGATTCCTTAGGCAGGACATAACAACTCCTCGACATGCTCAATACACAATATTTCCTCATCAACTTAGCATCATGGCAAATTAGCATCCTATTGACAATAAAAGCAAAGAAAAGGAAACATACATTTGTTCTGGGGGGTCAACTTTACCTCTTCAAGTGTAAAATCAATGGAAACATCTCCATTAGACTCCTCCTCTGCCTCAGCAACTTGCTGCAACTGCCCTATCACCTTTTCAAAATAGGTATGATCTGCACAATAGTGTAATAATATTACTACACCATATTTCGTAGCGTGGCAGAACTCACAATAATGATATCAGTGTAGCATTTGACTGAAAACAGAACAAAAAAGGAACTCCACCATCAGCACGACTTGCTAAAGCCTCAGAAAGTCTCAATGGATATCACCGCTCTCCATTCTTGAATTTTAACGTGATCTGATGACGACATCCTCCAGTAAAAAGTTGTTGTATCAATGAAAAATCAGGCCCAAACTGCAGAATGGCCTAAAAGATATGACAGCAGACATCAAGTGAAAATCAGATAATAAACTCATGCAAGAAAGTTGTGAAAGATTCCTTGGACATTCATCACATGTCCCTTAATAATACCTAAAATGGGACTCAAAGCAACTTTACAACATCTATTCAGTGACACATCCTCCCAACAAAAACATTTTTGCAGTACTACCACACGAACACTTACACACACACAAATTAAGAAAGACATATTATGCATTTTTCTCCTTGTGCAACATTTTCAGATATATGGTGTAGTCAGTTTCCAATGGAAGCAAAAAAAAAAAAAAAAA